ACTTTTTCTGGTGTTATTGGAGACTTATTTATGACGACTTTTTGACATGAAAGAGCGTGTTGCTCTTACTCTCAACAAGCAGCAGTGCTGCTGTGGGCACCTCGCCTGTGCTAAAGTGCTCACGGGCGGAGGATAGTCCTCCCCCAGCTGCAGGAGATCTTCACACCTGTGCGTTGCCGCTGCTCCGCACTGACTGTAACGCAGTAAGTTCTTCTTTTACTGTTATGCTGTTTTGTGGATCACAAGGTTTAAAACTACTTATAAACACACACACACAGAGTAACTCCACCAGAGGGCCTATTTCGGGTCACTTTTGCCGGTTAAAGCCCAGATAAAGGAGCAGGGTTGGAATTGTGACATTAAAAAACAATAATTGCTAAAAGAAATTTAATTTGTAGTTCTAAATAAATTCTAACTGCATTTAGGACGTTTTTTACTCACTTTATGTCTCTTCCACGATGTTATTTCTCTTTCCAACAATGTAGGTTACAATTACATTAGCATGACCAATTATGCAAATTAGGCGATGACGTCATTTAGCGACTTCTAGCGACTTTTAGGACAGCCAATAGCGATTTTCCTTACTGCGGAGTTGGCAACACTACTCTGAGCCCCTCCCGGATGGCCGAACTTCTTACCCTATCTCTAAGGGAGAGGCCAGCCACCCTTCGGAGGAAGCTCATTTCTGCCGCTTGTATCCGCGATCTCGTTCTTTCGGTCACTACCCACAGCTGACCACGGTGGTCTCAAAGTCAAAAAGATCTTTGTCAAGACTGCAAAAGTGTAATTTCACCAAACAACACATTTCATCTAAGAGGAATTTAAACAAATGATATAGTTCATTATAACAGTTTTCTTTCATGTTTGCTGTAAAATTCTATTAAATAGTAATAAGGAAGTTTGATGTCTTCAGTTAAGTCTGAAATAGATACTTTAATTTCTGTGTTTATTTTAAGTAAAGTTAACTATTAATTGCAGGCACAGTTACAAAGTTCATGGATTAAGCAGTGGGTAGAGAGGAACAAAGATGAAAAAACGTGGCAGAGGAAGGCGTCTCTGGTGAGATAGAGTGGTTAAAAGCTCTCATTATTTCAGTATCAATTAATCTGCTGAAGCTCCTCACGCTCTGGGACTGGTATCATCAGAAAATCTATTGTTCCTTTCTCTGTCCATATCCTGTAGTCCCCCCACACTCCCCGCCCGGTGCTTCCACTCTGTCTCAAGTGGCCCATCAAACACATGTTCTGAGCGGCAGCAGCTTCTAAAGAATCTGTAACTAAGTCGTGGCATATTTAAAAGCTTGTTTCAATTGTGAAACGACTGTTGACCACATTGTGCACGTGGATGCCGAGCACCTTGATGCCTCTTTCCCGGTTTTCAATTACTGCACCAGAGAAGGTGTCTTTTTGTCCATTTTCCATCCTGAAATCTCTTTGTTTTGCTCCCGTTGAAGTTGGATTCTGTATTTGCCCAAACCTCCCTTTGTTTCCTGTCTAAAGCAGAGCGGAAACATTCCTAGGTGAATTTATTGGCATAACAAATGCCGTAGTGGCAGAAAATATTGGCTGGTGATAATTGATAAGTGCTAGGAGCGAAGGTGTAGAGAATCGTTTTTTAATTCCTCGGCGCGGCCGCTGGCTCGGCGTAGCGCAGACCCAGAGGGGAAGAAATAACTGATGAATGATTCCTATTATGAGCGAAACTTCTGAATTCAATGACTAATTTATTCCGCTCTTTTCTGCAGCTGATCAATATGTGAATTAATGGAAGAATGCATTTCAATTTAACAAACGCACGCTCCGAGATATGGACTATTTTTATGTGTATTATTCCTGGGTGTTTTCGTAATGCTGAGCAGAACAACAGTTATGCAGAACAACAGTTATGTGGATCATTTTCTTGCCTTCAGGGGCCATAAACAGGCACCATTCAAATGTAACAACTGATAACAGGCAAAATAATCCGAGTCCAAAAGCCTATTTATTTTTGCCTTTGTTATGTTTCATCCATTTTTCGTGCACCGAATGAAATGTAATACTGCATCCTGTGCAAAATCCTCATCAGGCAACGGCAAATAGATTTTCTCTAAGCAAGTTAGGCTTTCTGGGAACGACTGCGATGTGACATCCTGCAACTGCAGCACAACGGCTCACATTATACAACACGAATAATCTTCCCTCTCTGTTTCCGTCCCACTCGCGCTCTCCAGCTCGTTCAGTAGCTGTCATTTGTTAATTCTGTTTACTGCCTTTGTCTGTTTTCTGTCTCTTTTTGCATTAGTTCCTCTTCACCCTCCATCTCCGCTGAAGTGCTTTAATATGTCTGCTAACTTACAGATTTTTTGTTTTGTTAGCTTCCATACATAGGAGGAAAACCTAACGTAGCATTCATCTACAAAAACAGCAAGACGGTCTCTCGTGTTCACATTTTTGAAAACCCGCTGCCTAATGGTGTTTTGATTATCATAATTAAGCAAGCTAACTATGAAGCACACAATTTTTCAACTGCTGATCATTTTTCAGATAAACAAACCATTGAATCATTTTCAAGGCCACCCGTGAGGTTTATCTTCCAATTTAGTCCTGCTCCTCTTCCATCACGACGGTTGTAATTCACTACTCATTAAAGGGAAGCAAGAACGACTGGAAATCAAAGAAAATAACACAGATATGTTGCATTGCTTTCGTCTCAAGCTATCAAAGGTTTTGAAAACACCTGAGAATGTTTTGTTTGAATTAATTTGTAATGTCTCTCACAGGAGTCAGACTAATTAGGTGTATATTAAAAAAAACCTTGTGCCTGGAGCTGCCTTTGGATGGCCCGTCTCCAATTAGAGATACAGCAGTTATAAAGGTCAGGGATATGAGCAGGTGATTGTACAAGATTTGGAATAAATTCTAAAGATAGGTGACAGCTGAAGCAGAGTAGCTAAAATTGGATTAAGAAAATGATGCATAGGTCTCTTAGAAAAACTGAAAAGGTGTTTTTCTCT